CTCCTCCCACTCCCCTCCACTACCATTCACTTCAATCCCCTCAATTTCCTTCCACTCCTCCCCATTCCCCTCCACTTCCCTCGCTTCGCCTTTGCAATGTTGAGGACAGTTGGTGCGTCGTCTGTTCGGCTCCGCCTTGGCAGACCGCCTCGCCAACACGCCCATCTTCTCGCGGACTCGCCTCATCCTCCTCGTCTTCCTGGCGCCGTTGGGCCTCAGTCTGGTTCTGCTGTTGCTTGCCTACTGCCTCGTCGACGTGAACAGTCTGTTGGCCAGCCAGACGGACCAACTCCGTCCGCTGCTGGTGCAGACAGCCCAACTGGCCATCGAACTGGCCGAAGCAGAAGCCGTCGATCTGGCCACCGCCGAGCGCCAGCTCAACACTGGCAGGACCTGATCCGCCAACATGTCCCACCTCCGCTGTTGACGCCACAGAACATGTCCAGCGAATCACTTGCCCTGCACTCTTTGGGCCTCGAGACAGTTTTTCAACTCTCACGCTCCTCGGTCTGACACGAGGAGGCTCATTGAAGACGACATGCAAGCCACTTGGGAATGGCAAAATTGCTTTCCATCACGTCAAGTCTGGCGAGGCAAACCAAACGCACAAACGCATCGGTGCCATAAGAAAGGCAGCAATGCTTGACGCAGCGATGCCTGCCAGACTCATTTTCATTCATCTCGATCAATTTGTATGACAAACTTGGGCCAATTCAGCATTACACTTTTCTCATCTTGACTCTCGCAGATCTACACTTTAACATTAATCTCAGATCAGTAATGTTGTAATGTAGCCAAGGCTAGAGAGTGCCAATTACCTCCATTCTTTTGTGTCCAGGCCAATGAATTCAATTGAGTATCATTCCCATACACAAAGCAACGTAATTGTGCAGATTTTCATTTCCGATTAAGATGGACGATGAAGAGATTCGTAGGTTGATCTCACCACAAGACGACGGCCCATTCTCATTTTATTGCAGCTTTTAGCTTTAATATCAAGTCCAGTTTGGTACGAAATTCATGACACGGTCTACGAGATATGCTCCCTCGTTTCATCATATCACGAAGATCACCAGAGCCGGAACTCATTCTTACAATAACGATTTAGAAAGGTTTGGTTAGCTCCCTCATACTCGTGTGCATATGTGTGTTGAATGTATGTATGCATTTGCGTGCATGTGTATGTATGTATGTGTGCTAACATCCGAACGCAAAACCGAACATAATTTGGAGTAATCAACAAAAAGCCCGACGCCGACCCCGAGATATCAAGACCTAATGAACCAAGGCAAAAATATAACCGAGATTGTGTAAGTCTGTAAGTAAGTCGGGTTAAAATGATGAGATGTAGGCCTATAGGCATGTAGGTCAGGTTAAGAGATCCCCAGTATGAGGTGATTGAAGTTTTCTATGTCCCAGGGAAAATCATGATTGGGATTGCGTAATATCATACACAATGTTGAACAATTGTGAGTTCAGTTCGAACCATGAACCATTCCTCGGCTGACAAATGGAATCGGCTTCTTTTGAAGGGCGGCTCAACCCCCTCTCTTGTTTAAGCATTTAATCAGACATTTGTAATTTCTGCTCGACTTTCTATCACCATCCCGCACATTCAACGTATTCTTTAATTTATTAATTTTAATAGCCTCTTATATTGCCTTTCATAGCAGACCATAATCAACGAACCTTTGCGCCCGAGAACAGTTAAGCTCATGTTCAGCTACTTCTGACCGTTAGACTAAATCGCGTTTACAAGCACTTTTGGGTTCCGCTGATCTTCGGCGAATGGGCCAAAGCTCTTCTCCAATATAAGTTCGACCACAAGAGCACACAATCTTTTAACAGTCGGATCTTGCTAATGGGTCATACTTTTCTCATAAAAGAAGACACGACTGAAGGGAGTGAAAGAGTTTATCTGAAAATGGTTGGATCGCCTATCTTCTTAGAAAGAAGATAGGATGGTAAGATTAAGACACGGTAGAGGGTGTTCGTCTGAAAATGTATTTCTCCCTGAAGAAATAACATAAGCAAATAGGCCAAAAGGATAATTATTCTCCAGGAGCAAAGCTTTCAATATTCTTAACTCTTCGATCAGACGATTTTCATCCACACGCCTCATAGTCCTAGTAATCGTAGATTTTAAAATTGCAACCCTAGTTATGTAACAATTGTTAGAAAGGGAATTAAGAACAAAACTAGCATATGCCAATTCCCTGTAAGCATCTCTGCCCAATTTACTATCAAAATTAGCCACAACCTCGAAAAAAGGTAATCTTCTATTCTCTTTTAATTCCATTGTGAACTTGACGTTTATTTCACACTGGATATGTGAATGTATGAAGCTACCTTAACTTCGTTTATAAGCAGAGTTTCGAGACTACCACCAAATCAGTTATCTGAGATATATTCACCCAATTTCGTTTAAGGTGATGAAGGGCTGGTAGTAGAATTTTCCCACAATGATATGGGTAGAGCTGACGTTTCCACTGAATTTCACATAGCCTTGTTTCCCAAAAGTTTTTCTCGTCCAGAGTGGACTGCAGCTTCAACGTAGCATAGGTCTTATCAACACCCCCAGCAGGATTCGAACCATGAAAATGTCGACACGTCAACACATTGCAATGAGTGTCCTTGAAACACAGGGCAAATATGAACTTTAAGTAAGACTAGGCATTTTCCCATATCACATTCTTTGAGAACAACTTTTGGGAAAGCAAGACTGTGGAATTCAAAAGAAACGTCAGTCCTAGTCATATCATTGCGGGAAAACTCAACTACCAATCCTTCATCACTTCAAACAAAATATGGTGAATACTTCCCATATGACTATCTTAGCTGTCCTTACCCTACTGTAAAAACATAAAATAATCAGACAAATATCTTGAAAAATGACTCAGGATTAAAATAAAAATTTATTGAAGAAAAGAT